TTTCAGAGCCTAAAGTAAGCACACTCCAAAAGTCCTCTTCAAAGGCATTCTCAGCCCCCGAAACAACAATGTTAGGCCGGAATTTAGTCCGATCCATCTCCGTCCCGTCCGGCAATCGTGCCGAGACATTATCAACGGATGTCTCGGAGATAACCAGGTAGGGCGCACAGTCGGCGAAGGTGATGCGGTCTTCGGGCTGTGCGTGTAGCATGTAATACAATACTAGCGCAACGGGTGCTAGGAGGGCGGGCAGCAGACTACTTGCTGTTTGGGGTGTCTTTCCCTGTCGAATGAAGCTGTAGGCTTGGATGAGTATGTTGGCCACGAATGCGACCACCAGCACGGGTAAGAACCATTCTCGCTTTTTGTCTGTGGTTTTGTTTGTAACGATGTTCCAGATTCCGCGCAGGGCTGAGTTTTTGTTGGCTTTTGCTGGTGCTAATGTGCCCAGTACTTCTCGTGAGTTTGGTCCGAGGTAAGCGAGGATTACAGGGTATCCAAAACAGGCGCTGAACCAGTCGTTGTATTCGGCGCCCATGCTGTAGCCTGTTGTTGGGCTTTGGTGCATTGTGACTGTGAGAGGGTTGAGGGTCTTTGTATTGGGTTGGAGAGGGATCTCGAGTCTTTTGCGCTCGCGGGGTTCGGGTCCAAACTCTGATGGTGGTGGGTGGTATGTGACTATTACTTTTCCGCTGTCGTTCTCGGTCTGGGGGTACTCGATGTCCGTATGGAAAAGGGCCATCTCTGGGAAGTGGGGGACATGCATATTCTTCAGGGTCGTGGTGTCGGAGCCATCCTCGGCGGGCAAGACCTTGAGGAGCATAAAGTGACGGTCATATTGGAAGCCGCGTGGAGTTAGGATGCCCTCGTTGACGGTAGTCGGCCGCAGCGACTTGATCGGGTAGACGTAGAGCTGTTGTTCGCGTTAGTTACGTCCCATTGAATATGTGTCGCAGTTCGGGGTTCGCACCTGGCTGACTCTCATGGTCATAAATTATGCTTCCTGGGAATACAAGAAGAGGGGAAATTTCGCAAACAAATCCGAGGGGAACGATGTCATATGAAACTGAGTTTGGCGCAAACGAAAAACTGATAAGTGATAAGGCGATGTAACTAACTTATACGACTCCGGTACAAAGTAACTATATGAAACATCTATAATTGCCCTACCATTCTATCTGTGTAATTTTGAACATCTTGAATCATATTCGTTTCGAACCCGGGATATACAGAGAAAGGAAATTAGAAAGGAAATCGTCTATTGGTCCTCAGACCAGGGCAAACTGAAAGTGCCAACCCAGTCCTCAACCTCTTGGCGCAGGAGAACAATCTCGGAGATCTCCTCGCCCTCGCCCAGGTAGTCCAGGAAGGCCTTCACTGTGCCAGGGTTCTTGACACCCTTGGACTGAGCGTGCTCGCGAGCAACCTTGTCCAGCTTCTGAGTGATGATGACAGCGCGGTCGACGATGTCAGCTACGCGACGGAAGTCCTCGGGCTGGAAGCCACGGGAGGTCATGGCGGGGGTGCCAAGACGCAGACCACCGGGCTTGAGGGCGGACTTGTCACCAGGTACGGTGTTCTTGTTGCTAGCAACTCCGCACAGCTCGAGAACACGCTCCACACGAGCGCCATCCACGCCGCGGTTCTTCAGGTCCACCAGCACCAGGTGGTTGTCGGTGCCGCCGGAGACGATGTTGTAGCCGAGTCCACCCTTGCTGGTGGAATCGCCGAGGCGCGAGGCCAGAGCTGTGGCGTTGGACAGAACTGTCTGCTGGTAGTTCTGGAAGTCGGTTGACTGGGCCTGCTTAAGGGCCACGGCCAACGCGGTGATGGTGTGGTTGTGAGGGCCACCCTGGTGGCCGGGGAAGACGGAGGCATTGATTGGGTTCTCCAGATCGTACATGACGGGGTTGCCCTTCTTGTCCGTGCTGCGCACGCCCTTGCGGTAGAAGATCATGGCGCCACGGGGGCCGCGCAGGGACTTGTGGGTGGTGGTGGTCACGATATCCGAGTAGGGGAAAGGAGACGGGAGCACATCAGCAGCTACGAGACCGGAGATGTGCGCCATATCGGCCAGCAAGTAGGCGCCCACGGAGTCGGCAATCGCGCGCATGCGGGGGTAGTCAATGAGACGGCTGTAGGCCGAGGTGCCCGCAACAATCAGCTTGGGCCGGTACAGGTTGGCCATCTTCTCCAGTCCGTCGTAGTCAATCAAGCCAGTCGACTCATCGAGGCGGTAGGGAAGGGTTTCAAAGTACTTGGAGATCGCGGAAATCTTCTTTGTAGGGGTCTGGTAGCCGTGGGACAAGTGACCACCGTGAGGGAGGTCCAGGCCCATGAGGCGGTCGTGGGTGTTAAGAACAGCGGAGTAGGCCATGAGGTTAGCGGGCGAGCCGGACAGAGCTGGTAACAGTTAGCATTTGTATCCCTTTGCATATATCCGTATATCATACGCTGAACATTCACTCCCCACTCCTCGGGGTTAAGACGGTAGGTCTCAAGAGCACGCTGCTGGCACAGGCGCTCCGAGGCATCAATGTGTTCGTTTCCACCATAGTAACGGGCGCCGGGGTATCCTTCGGAGTACTTGTCTGCATTGTGGTTAGGATGGCCGGCCTATCTGGCAAGCAAAAGCGGGAAACTGGAGTACATACTTTGCATAACACTGCCAAGAGCATCGAGGACAGCTTGCGAAGTGAAGTTCTCAGAGGGAATCAGGTTAATGAAGTGCTTTTGGCGTCTTTTCTCCTGGAGAGGTATTAGCAAGTCGTCGATTCCGGAGCTCTATCAGCAATGACGCACCTTCTGCAGGATATCGTAAACGGCGGGGTCGGAGTCCTTGAGGGAGGACGATAGCAGCTGGTAAAAGGTCAGTATATGTGTCTGGCTTGCCATTGAAACCCTTCAAACCACATACCTTGTGCTGCGCATCGGGAGACGACGATACTCCCCGCGATTGAGGGGCCGATCTAATTGATGGCACGATAGAGGCCCGGGAGACAATAGCGCGGGAGCTCCCAAGGGGGAGCAAGCGGGCAGCGGATCTGCCACAGCGAGACAACATGGTGAAGCTGGAGCTGAAGCTGAAGCAATTCAAGACCGGGGGGTATATGTACTTGGCCGATAGGAAAGCATCGGCTTTTAAAACAACGAATGCTTGTCGGACAGTAACTGACGCCTCTCCGTTCTCCGCGGAAAGCGGGAAACGGCGCTATTCCCCATTGAGCTCTCCGCCTGGTCCGTGCATCAGCTTGAGGTTTTCTCGCTCGGCAAAATTTCTCCCTCCTTTTCTTCTTCACACAACTAAATCCAAGATGAAGAGACGGCGTTTTATCTGTGTCAGCACTCGTCGGTGACGGCTGGGCTTCGGTCTGGCTGGCGCTGGACGGGCGCTGCTGACAGGTCCCACGCCTTTAACCATCCATTGAGGGACCAGTACCATCGGATTGGAATTGTTGTGCGTTTGGTTTGCCGACGAATCGGGATGGGATTCGACTTGGGACTCCAGGCCTTCCCATCTTAGGCCTGGATTATCTCATGGTATCCAACAGTTCCACTATCGCGTTGGCGATACTCCTAGTTCAGCGAGGAGCTGTGTTGATCGCAAACTCCGAGCGCCTCTGAGAGTCTACCCCTATCTAGTACATAGAACACAATATAATTACTTGACGACAGTTCAACTTGCAAGACACCACGTGCCTCTGTTTCTATTCAACCTAGCTACAACACAACCTTCGAACAGGTTGTGCTACATGTAAGCAATCACCCCTAGCCGGTAAGGAGCAATCTGTTGACGTTTTAACCGCAACGACGTAGGCTGTCTAGGGATGATGATTGTAATGAAGATCACCAACCCTTGTGTGTTTTTGTGGTGCCTTGCATTCACTGTCATTTTATGAGTTGCGAAGCTTGTTTACTATAATTAGTGATCACATTGACCAACGGCGATCAGACTTCATGACTGATGCTATTTGTATACGTTAATGACACTAAAAGCGACACTACGGAAGGGTTGCTGGAGTGGTTTTACTAAAGCGGTTAAACTGCCACCTAGAACGACCGTTAAAGTGAGACCTTTTAGGTGCCTAACACAATGCCAAGCATTAATCTTATTGTTTGGCTCTTGTGCCCTTCACATTGGCTAGGAAATATAGCAGGGAAATTGGTCTTATTGTTTAAAGAGTAGGCAATATCCTTTTCTGGTGTGTCTTCTTTTAGACTCGGCGATAAAGAATGACATTTTCAAGTGATATTTCCAGATGATTATATTGTCCACTGGTTTGTAGCATCATAGATACTTTCGGCCTTATGTATGGCTCACACCTCCACGGCTCACTATCGCGGGAACTTGGCGGGGCAGGATGCAAATTGTCGAGGCTCCACTAACTTGAACGTTGCGAGAAAACTACAATTAGCAACTCGCATGGAGTACAAATCAAAGAGATAGACTTGACCAAAATGACCACATACCCACATCAGAGTAAGAAGATCAAAGAACCTAGACTCGGATAGCCAATGCCTAGAAAATCTCGTCCAACCCTAGCAGCCACAACAGCCCAACTAGGAAAGGATTCTCGGCCGCACAAAACAAAGTGATTCATGAAAGCGTGTCCCGAGGGCTGGAGGACGCCAGGAGGAAAAGTGACTTGTGGGCCCATATTAAATTGGCTGCAGAACAAGTCCCGATTGACTGAGAGACTGACTAGATGACGCCGTTATTCTACGAAACTATTGCCACGCGCTGTCTCTGCCCCTTTTCCCGTCTTTCCACAGTTCCGTGGGCAGAGAGTGTCTAGTGCACGGGTACCTGAATCTCATTAAATTAGCATTATATACTCCCCCGGTCTCCCCCTTCTCCCTCTCTTCTTCACCCACGCTTACATTCTCTATCCCCGGTTCTTCAACCGATTACATTCTTTTAAAAAGCCACTCTCTACACTTCGCGTGTCCATACCCCTCAACGAACATTCTTGGAATTATTCCATTCACATCCTATCACAATGCGTTTCTCTATCGCCGCTCTCGCTGCCGTTGCCGTTGGCGCTGTCGCCTCCGATGTCACCACTGAGGTTCTCACCCAGTACACTACCTACTGCCCTGAGGCCACCTCCGTGGTGCACGGTAGCCACACCTACAGCATCTCGACCGTATGTTCATAACAAGCCAAAACACGCAACAAACACTAACAAACCAAATAGCCCGGTCACATCACCATGACCAACGGTCCCTACACCGTCACCCGTCCCCTCGTGACCTCGACCGTGACCCAGTGCAACAGCTGGTAAGCAATCAACATATCAATAAAGAGAACAATCCCATTCTAACCCCATCCCAGCTCCTCCTCCACCCCCTTGGCCAGCAGCAGCAGCATCCCCGTCGTGCCCAGCGTCGCCACCTCCACCCCTCTGGTCCCCAACGCCGGTGCCACCGGCTCCCCCTCCCCCTCCCAGCCCGCCTTCAACGCCGGTGCCATCAACGCCGCCACCGGCGCTGGTGCCGGTCTGGCTGCTGTCTTCGGTGCCGTTGCCCTCCTGCTGTAAAGCGGTTGAATGTCAATGGTATCATGAAGAGATGGCGCGATCTCTGTGTTCGCTTTGAGCATGGCGCTTCGCTGCTGTCGGGTGTTCAGGCTACGGGTTCTTCTTGGGTGTATATGTCTTGTCTACGTCTTCTTAGATAATACATAATTGTTCTCTTCCCTTTGGGTGTATCTTGTTCATGTTCTCCCCACCATGCTGGGGCTTTTTGTTGGTTTTGCGCGTGATTCTCCTGGACATAACGTTTCTGTTTATTATCTTCATATCACTTCAATCGCGAATGATCTCTTTTTTCTCATTGCTGTCTTCCGTATGAAAGTAGGCTTCGTAGTTGACGCCGCTCTTGACGACTCTTATCATCGTCGGTATCTTCCGAACGCATATTGAAGTTGACGTCTTGATTATCGGCCAAGCTTTGGCGATCCTCGCCTCTCTCCACTGATCTCGATCTATCGAGAGACTAGTCGATCGCTACCCCCATGGGATGAATATATCAACTACCGAGATCCTCTCTAAGCCGCTTCTACAAAGTGCCACGAGCCTAGTGAGAAATGTACTATGATGAGACCTTGAATTTTATGTCATAATCGAATCGTACATAGACTCGTGGAGCACTGCGGGGATCATGCAGGTCTATAAACGCCAAAATAAGCAATGTGACAGTGCAATGTGATCGATCTCATAACAATCATTATGGAGACATAGTCTATATCCACTTCACATTCTTCTATGTATTAACCCACAATTTCCTCATAGGCATCGGTCTTAATTTTTTCATTATATTCCCTGTTATAGCCTCCCACTTCAAGTAAAGAAACCAAATATAAACAGCAATCATCACCAGATATATACATTCATCCCAAGAAGCCACTGTACATCTCCAATGCGTATTAGCAAAATTAAAGCTTCGCCATCCCACCCTGTCTCTTCCTCACACCCTCAAAATACTCCCTAACCCTTCCCCTAGCAACATCAACAACATCCCCATCCTCAACAGTAGGCGGCACAGCAACAGCCCCCTCATAATCCCCCTTAACAGCCATCTCAACCAACTCCCTCAAAACCCGTCTAAGCGTCTTCCCACTCCGAGTCTTAGGCAACATCCCCCGGCCCTGAATCATCCCACCTAGCGAGGCAATAGCTCCAATTTGTTCGCGCACGAGGGTGTTCACTTCTGTGAAGAGTTTCTGGCTTGGTTTTGCTGGTAGATATCCATTAGATGTAGCTTCTTCCGGGATTGATCCAGCTTTTGGTTGGATGAATGCGAAGGGGAGATGGCCTTTTATGGGGTCGGGGAGGCCGATTACTACCGCTTCACTGATCGCTGGGTGGGAGAGGATTGCTTGTTCGATTGTTCCTGTAGATGGGTGGTTAGTCTTTTATCTCGAAACGTGGAATATAAAAAGAGAGAGAGTGTGTGAGAGAGAGAGAGAACATACCAGTCCCAAGTCGATGAGCTGCAACGTTAATGATATCATCAGATCGCGACATAACATGCAAATAGCCATCTCCATCAACCATCCCCGAATCACCGGTATCAACCCACCGCCCTTGAAACCGCTTCAGATACCCACGGTAAAAACGCTCGTCTTCCATGAAAAGATTCGTAAATGCCGTCGGGGCAAGGGGTAGTCCCAGAACGATATTACCCATCGTGCCATGGGATACTTCAATGCCCTCGTCATCGACAATACGGACATCAAAACCAGGTAACGGCAAACCCGCCGATCCAGGACGAAGAGCAAGAGGTTTCTCACTCTGTCCCTCTACATCTGCACCAGGACCCGAACCAGCAATAGCAGCCCGACAATTCTGCATCAACCCGGTAATAGGCGAACCAGACTCAGACGACCACCAGTTATCAACGACAGTAGCACCAACAGCCCCAAACCTCTCCAATAACCCCTGATAAAGCCGAACGATAGATGGCTCGCTCCGCTCACCGGCAAGGAATAACCCACGTAACGACTTCAATCCGCCTCTCCTTCCAACTTCACTAATAAGGACATTCTCGGGATCATCTTTGCACATCGCACGAATAGCAGTAGGCGCCGTGAATAGGACATTCGCTTTGTGTTTTTCGATTAGACGCCAGAATATACCGGCGTCCGGTGTGCCGACTGGTTTGCCTTCGTAGAGGATCGTTGTTGCGCCGACTAGGAGGGGTCCGTACAAGATGTAGGAGTGCCCTACTACCCAGCCTATGTCTGAGGCGCAGAACATTACATCGCCTGGGCCTTTTATGTTGAAGAGGGCACTTGTGCTTAGGGTTAGGCCTACGGCGTGTCCGCCTGCTTCGCGGAGGACGCCTTTTGGGAGGCCTGTTGTTCCTGTATGCGTGTTAATATGTGGTTAATTATCCAATGCTGATATTCCAAAATGGAAAAAGAAAGAAAGATACGCCGTCCACTGTCCAAGGGTACAATACTCACCACTAGTATAAATAACATAAACCCCCTCGGTCCCCATAACAGGAACGGACTTAGCCCGAATCCCCCGACCACGCGCACTCTTAACAAGCCTCTGCCAATTCCGCTGTCCACCCCTCTTATCAGGTCTATTCCAGCGCAGCTGATCCCGCTGCCAAACAAGCACCTTGCTCGGCTTGAACCTGCTTGCGTTTATTGCACCCTCCACTAGCGGCCTGTAAGCAATGGGGCCCTTGTTTCCCTCGATACCGCACGAGGCGGTCATTATTGCGCGTGGGCGCGCGGCTTCGATGCGTTGCGCTAGGGATTGCGGGGCGAAGCCGCCGAAGACGGCGGCGTGGATTGCGCCTAGGCGTGTTATTGCTAGAGCTGCTATTAGGGCGGCCGGGATCATTGGCACTACCCCCGGATGGTTTGTTAGTTTGTTCATCTCCGTGTTATTGTCATGTGGTTTATATTGTGGGGTTACTGTGGGGTGCTTGTGACGGTGGCGGGGATGGGGATGGGGATACGGATATGGGTATGGGTAGGTATGTGTGGTGATATGACTGCCATCGTAGGGGTAATGGGTAAATGCATACTGTAGATAATGACAACGTCACCCTTCTTTACTCCCTCCTCCCTCAAGACTCCCGCAAGAACCTCGATCTCATCCAGTAGCTGAGCATAGGTGTATGTCTCCGTCGATCCTGTCACGGGCGACTCCCAGATTATGGCCACATTGTCACCGTGTCCTGCGAGGACGTGTCGATCAACACAGTTGTAGGAGGTGGAGATCTCGCCGTCGGCAAACCACGACCAATGCTCGTGTGAGACTCCACTGGGGAGAGTTTTGGTGTGGCGTGTCAGGGCCCGTGATGGCTTGCGGTGCCAGTGGAGCTTGGCTGCGTGATAGCTCCAGAAGGATTCTGGGTCGGCAAGGGAGTGGGCAGTTGTTGTTATTTGAGTGTGAGGTGGCATGGTGGTTTGGATATTCTAAAGGGATGTGAAGTCGAGGAAGGGAAGGTTGGAGGTTGGAGGTTGGAGAGGGGGATGTGAATCCGGGGATCCCAGGCGGGATAGCTTAAGCTACCCGAGGTAGGGGCTGCATGAGAGTACAGGGGTGTTGCGGGGAGAGCGCCCCCGCATTTAATACTGTGAATACTGTGAATCTTTGGTAGAACCTGTATTGTCTATATATCGCAAAATAAAATAAAAACAAGCTCAGTCGTAGGGTATCATATCGAAATGCCTGCTAATGCGCGACTGCGATCTGGCTTCGTCGCCTGGGGATTTTTTTTGTATGGTGGAGAGAAAGAGGATTCCAAAGAACCACCTCTTAGGGCCACCAACGCCGAGATAAAAGACAGAACCCTCCAGATGCACCCGGGACCAAAAATGGAGAGAGAAAGAAGAAATAGAAAGCCAGTTCAAGGGGCTCCGGACGGACCCGGCCGATCACAAGAGGACACAATTGAGGCGACTGCGATGTCGCGACTTGTCGGGCCGGAAGGACTTGGGGTATTCGGGCCCGGCGTCACGATCACGGCCACCGGGCTGGCGGCGGTCCGGGCGACCACCTTGCTGCTGTTGTCGCTGCTGGCGCAGCATGCGAACGACATCGTAGAATGCCTTCTCCACGTTGATGCAGTTCTTGGCGGAGGCCTCGACAAACTCGCATCCCAGCTCCCGGGCCAGTGCCTGACCTTCTTGTGCCGAGACTGCGCGCTCCACAGCCTTGTCGCTCTTGTTGCCGACCAGCATCACGGGGACGGGCATTGCTGGGCCGGAGGATGCGCTCAGTGGGGAGTTCAGGTAACTGGGCCCGGAGGGGGAGCCCGAGCTTGATGATTCCTTGACCATCTTGATCTGGTTGTAGAATTTGGTGATGCGCGAAAAGGAGGCGCGCGACGTGATGCTGTACACCAACACGAACCCCTCGCCATCTCGAATCCACTGGTCTCGTAGTGCGGTATATTCTTCCTGACCCGCAGTGTCCAGCACCTCGAGCATACACGATTGTTGATCGATCACGACTTGTTTGCGATATGAGTCCTCGATGGTTGGATCATATGTTTCGACGAAGTGATTGAGACATAGCTGAGGGGGGGGTGATATTTAGCGTCTTGATCTCGTGTGTGACTCGGGCAACCAACCTGAATGGTAAGGGCGGTCTTTCCAACACCTCCATCACCCAACACCACCAGCTTGTACAGCGTCATTTTCCCAGACATGGCGAGAGAGAGCTAAACAGTCAGCGACAGAAGCGCAAGCGACATGTTGGAACATACCAAGGGGGAAAAGAGGGGAAAGGAAGAGGGGGGTGAAGTGGCCCACGTTCCAGGCGGGGGGGGCGAAAAAGGAGCTTCGACGCCAATTGAGAAAAGTGAGTGTGCGAAGTCTGGTCCGTGGGTGGGGGAAGTAAGGAAATTAAGTGAGAGAAGAAAGTCAGAGGGGAAAATGGTTAAAGTAAGAGTAAGAGTAAAAGGAAGAGTAAGAGCAAGAGCAAGAGCAATTGAACAAATCGAGTACGGAGCCAGAATTTACAATTCTATCCCTGTCGGGGGTTTGAAATCTTCACCCCCCTACCGTTTAGCCTCTCGGATTTTCACTATATTTCTTTTCCCGCTGAAACTGTTTCTGGTAAGACCTCGAAATATAGACAAACGAGACCGGCAGACAGAAATGACTGGTAAAACTCCTATAATTAGGGGAACATAAGTGACAGCTCCATGAAGTCATACACTTTGGACCAGGGGGAATCCACTTTAGGAAGTTAGTGCGTTTTTCACGGCGTGATGACACTATTATCCCCTACTGATATGTTATCTATACTAAGTTTTTCGATATTATTCTAACGTCTATCTCTATCTCTATGCTCTATTCTATGACCTACAATTTACATTCTACCTTCGACTTCTGACTTTCTATATTCTACATACAGGGACAGCTCCACACGGAAAAGGAGAGAAGCAGGCCCGGCCCTCAACGCACAGGACACAGTGGATATCCACGGAACTGTGAGCTTTTCTTGGCCTCATTTCCTTCCTGCCTTCACTCCCGGTGGAGAAGCTTGAAAGCTCTCTCTCTATCGGGTGGGACGGAACAAACCCTCCCCCCCTCCCTAAGCGAGCCCTTTTGTGTATAATACAAAGTCGCTAATAATGATTAGGTTGAGTCTAATTCGTAGACCCCAGTCCACACGTGGAAAGTGTGTCATCTCTTGTTTCAGGAGTCTATACATCTGCAGTATTATTCTTTTAGTGTCGATGGTGGCGCCCCATATCCCCACAGCCTCGTGGTCTTTGAAATGAGATGCTATTGTACGGAGTACTCACGATGCTATACTCGAAGACCCTAACCCGAAATACATGCACGTCCATGGATCACAGCACACTATCACACATTCTGGAATGTCTATCGCGTGTTTAAAGGTTTGAGCCAGACTCAACTTGGTTTAGGGGAAATGTTAGATTGCCAGATTGCTTTGGGCTGGGCCTCGTTATCACACTTTTACACTTTTCTAGTTCTTTTACTCGGGTGCGGATGGGGGTCTTTGCGTTCCCGGTCCGCGATGCCCATGTCTATAAGCGCCGGGTAACGGTCCCCGAAGAATTTGTCCAAGAGAAAATACTGCGTGTAGTGAAAGGGCAAGTGGGTACCTCGTTGGTAAGCCTTGCTTATGAGGCACTTTATAGCCCAGGACTTCCAATCTCCCTGGTTGGGCATCCATGGACAAACTCAAAAGCAGCCGGGGCGAATTCGTTCCAGTTCCCAGTTCTGTGGCCCAGTGGGGGCAGAACTGCCACCCATTTCCTTTTTGAGCCCATGGGGGCTCCGGGACGGGTCCCGACGGGGAATTTTCTGGTTCTTTTCTTCTTTTCTTTTTCCTTTTTCTCTTCTTTCAATCTATTTCATTCGCTTGGATCCAATCAGCTTTGCATCTGCACTCACCGTGCCTCGCCGGGAACTATCGACCCGGCCCGGACCCCAAAATGCAGTGATATGCACACTGCCCTTAAGGGTAACATTATATTCTGGCGAACAATGATGAGCGTCGAGACGGGTTGCCGGTCTGGAGAATGATACAGGTACAGACCGCATAATATTGAGGGTGTTTCATCCCCCTGTTCGCGCGGACGGAATGGTCCGGGTAACGGCTGGACCGGGGGAGCTTTGAACGCCGCGCCAATGATGGCCGTAGATGCATATGAAAAGTGACAGGGGGGCCCGTGGCGGATCCTCCCGCCTGACCGTTAGATGGAGACGCGCCTGTGTCGAACGGTCCACTATGGCCTCCTCCTGGCCCTGGTCTAGGATGTAATCTCGAGATTGCGTTGCATTGGCGACGGCATTGTCCTGCATCCCGTCCAACGGGTATGATGTAACGGCATCCCTTGGCCTTGATAATCGCGTTGGATTGCGTCTCTTGATAGGTCTGTTGTCTGCTTCCTACGTTCATCGTACGACGCTGCGCCTTGCAAGCCATTGGTGATCGGGACGGTTCCCAAGATCGATCTTGATAACACAGCTGCCTGTTTGAGATTAGCGCGTGATGGTTTTTGGTGGCAGGAATATTCCTCGTTGTGGCTCGATCTTCGTATGGAATGAATGATAGGTTGATGTTTCCATGTAGGTTTATCGCCAATTTTTTTTTGGATCACATGCAGTTACATGTACAGTACAAAGAAACATGTCGATCTCAATGATTGATAGATCCAGTTGATACTCTATATGTCTGCCCAAATTTCCTGCATTGGGATCGCTGATGGGATCTTCGTTGCACTATTGATTTAAACATCAGGTGAGCATGTGGCCCCAATAATGAATAGCGTTATTTGTGGGGTCAGGGGTTTAGGCATAGTTTGGGCCTTGCTTAAGCTACTTGTATGAGACAACTTATTAGTGCTGGTCTAGCTTGCCGGTTGATCGTCCGGAGTTTTGTTCTTCTTCCGCGTATAGGCCGTACAGGGCGTACTTCGGCCGAGTTCCTTGAGTGAGATGAGGTACACTAGTAGTTTAGATCTACAGGTAGTCACATGTGATTTCCAAAAATCACAGTCTTCTCCAGGCATCTATGTGTAGGTCTCAAAATAGGGGACGTAGTGGATGTTGAGGCAGCACAGCCCAGAAACAGTGCATTTGCAAGATAGGCAGCATCAGGCGTCATTATGAAGATCATTGACTAGAGTGTCGATTTACACATTGATAAGGATGTCCCACAACTGTCATGACTGTCATCATGTTTGTCTGCTCTAATATAGGGGAAACATTCAGGGTCTTTCACCGTAATCATGCAGTCAGACTGCTGCAGAACCTGGCCTATATTATACTAAACATAACATTAAAGAAGTATTTGCTACACGAAAGTGACATCTCTTCTCGGATTGCCTCCGTATTGGACTGAGATAACCTCCCTCATCCTTCAGTTTGGCTCCGTTGTAGCCCACAGAAGTTTCGGTGTTACAATTTGCTTGGTTCACACGTCTAGGAGTTCCGACCTCCGTTGTTTGTCTTTGGTGCATAGATGTTTAGATGCCTTCTTTCGGTAAGTGGACTCATGGTCCTTCTTCCTCCTCTCTTGATATTCATCATATATTGAAGTAGGAAGGCGTAAGACCAGTCGTGGATCACTATCGTGCTATAAAACTATATAGAACCTACAAAAGTCTACTTGATCTTTTTCCATTCCACTACTCCAACACAATTGGCTATCAAAAGAAGGACCATCATCCTCTTCTATCAAGATCTTCAACCTTCGCAAGACATCAAGACATCTGATATATGACCTTGAGAGAAACTCGCAACAATGAAAAGAAACAGCAGAAATCCGGGACGATTGGGAGTCTCGCGTATCGTGCAGCAATTAAGCCTTTTCAGCGACAAGCGACAAGAATCACAAGTTTGTCTAAAGCTGGTGGTATAGAGTTTCCTCGGAAACGATTCTACCTCCATCTTGCCATGATCATGTGAGTCATATGTGATGAGGTCTCTGGATGTCCATTCAGGACACCCCCCGAGACGGGACGGTTGAGTTGGAAGTGAGTTTTGATGTATCTAGTCTGGTTAAGCCCTAGGACTTCACTAATGGCTCTTGTTTCACACAGATAAAGATGTTGCACGGCTTTCATGACAAGCCAACCGTCACCCTAAAAGTCGTTCTAGAATCATAAGAAACTGAAAATGGAATTTGGCCAGACCCAAGAAAAGGTGCGGGATCAGCAAGAGATATTTCTCACTCATAATCTGCTTCGAAGACGCATCCAATTCCCTCGTTCTTATGAAATGGTATCTACACATTCATGTGTAATACATCTTTTTCATGCTACCGGAGGTACAGCTAAGAGCACTACGTCCAAAGGTATGTTTTTCTTGTACTGCTTGTCTGTTGCCCTCTCTATACCCTGTCGTTTCTTCTTACACTAACTTTGTACAAACAGTATAACGGCTCTCCTACTAATCTGCGTACCTCATCACTATGTGTGGCTCGTTGATCACCGCTGATCACTCTCTGTGGACGTTTTCTCTCTCTTTGCATGAAAAGCTACAAATGAGAACGGCACAGGTTCCATATGGTTTTTAACAATACCGAAGAGATTGCGACGGAGGAATAAGAGGGGCAAATAACCCTATGGATTTCGTGTGGAAATATAGTCTCCTCGCGATTCTCCTAATCGACAGGTCTTACAGAAAGGGATACTTGACTCCCTGATCCGACCAGGCTGGAGTGTCCAGCTTCTTCAAGAGCTTTGATTGGATAGCCTATGAACCGAAAGTCTCCAGGGCTGCTGTCACTTTACGCTTAGATATACACAATCATGTGTCATACTATATGCAGCTTTGGTTATATTCTTGGATATTTACCCCACCCTGATCAAATGATAGATAGCTTTTGAACGCCAAATAACATAGGATACAATATTCCAGCTGACAATCACCCCCGTTGAATATCATCTAGGTAAGACGTCACCTGTTCGACCAAGATCCGCCGCGGCTTCGCCTGGTCACTATCACTCAAAGCATGCGACGCACCAGGAATAACCATACTCCTCGGGTCCCAGATCTGCCGTCCACTCCCATCAGCAGCAGCCTGCCACCTCTTCAACAGAGCTTCCTTGTTCACCCATGGAGGTACGGACTGATCACGCCCAGAGTACAGCACGAGCATCTTCTGCTTCAACAAACCTCTCTCCTCAATCATACCGAAAGTCCCGCGGAACTGCTCATCACTCAAATCGGAACTGAACAAATCATCTTCCGACGGATTCTCAGGACTGTCCGGACTAGCCAGACTCAAAAATCGACGACTGCTAACCGGCGCAGAAGGCGGGTACCCAATACGCGATGTCACAACCAGTGGAACAAGAGTATCAACCAAATCATGATCCTCATACGTCGCACGACGCGCATCCGCCACAGCCTGGTCATAAATCTCGCGCATCTTAACTGGACTATCACGCTCAGTACCACACTTGACAACCCACAAGATACCCTCGCGGTCCGAAACAGGCGCTTGCATAATAGCGCCATCAACCTGGGCCCGCACAATGGGCTTCCAATCGCGGTCGAAGACGGGGTGTGCGGGCCGCGGGTTGGGGCAGTTAATGTAATGCATCACGTCCTGACTACCCGTCGAATGGCCCATGATCACCACCTTGCCCGGCCCGAATTGGGGCTCCTTATACGCGCGGACGTATGAGACGCATTGAGACAGCTCGTCGATGTCTTTGCCTAGTCGGCCCATTCCCCAACCCCCGCCTGCGCAGGAGAGGCCTAGGTTGAATATGCTCCATTCTGTTGCGTCGAGGGCATTGACGACTTCGTTTAGGTAGTCGACTGAGCCGAGGCTGTCACCTAGACCTCCTACAAAGACTAGAGTGTGTGGTTTGCGGATTTGGCTGCGTGTGTATTCGAATGCGACGAGGGTGTCGGTCTGGTCGGGTGTTGTCAGTTAGCTAGGGAGTTATCCGAGGGTATTTTCGAGGAGAGAGGTTGTGTACGCAGTGATGGAGGATTCCGGGCTGACCCCGGGCCAGAGATAGTTGTTTGATTTGCATTGTGAGGTGTGAGTCTTGTGAAGGGGGAAGATTTGACAATCGGCGTCAGATCTGATAAGGCGGCATCTGATAAGGCGGTGCAGGTGCCGATACCGGGTCAGGGCGGGTGGGTTATGCTCGCATTAGGGCTTGGAAAGTATAGGACCACTTCGTTACAGTTTCCACGAATTGTTGCAGCTTTTCTCGAATTCGTCACCTTGGCTCTATGTTTGATTGGAAGTCTACTAAGTGTAAAAGCTTGGTACAAGCAAGGAGGCATTTCTGAGCTAGCGACAGATTATTGTCAAAGTACTCAAAGTCATAGAGACGCATGACGGACGAGCAATAAGAATGCCACTGAATAGCTCGTGAATGGCTTGAGCTCTCTTAGATCTTAAGCGTCGTGTGGCGATTGCCTTCCAGGTACTGATCGAAAAGTCATTCAAAGAAGCCTAGGCAGTCAAGTTGGACGCATCAGATGTATGGTTGTTGAATCTGGAGCCAGGGTATCCGTTGCGTTTTATTATGTATGACTTGCGTGCCCGATGCGTAACAATAAACATAGCATTATAAATTGAGCTCACTTTGGTCTAGCGATTTCACTTTGGACATTTGGTATCTAGTCTTAGCCCCTTCGGGACAAAGACTGTCTGTATAATGGTCTCGCTAAAGATAAATCCAAAGTACTAAGTCTCTCTATGCCAATTAATGCCCCTTTTCAAGTACAGCATGCTGTACTGGAGAGCACTTCGGGGGGCGAAGCAGTGCGTCGAATCGTGCTCTTGGGGGGTCTTTTTTGGCTGGCAAACATATCGAATCTACTAAATCCGGTGGAATAAACTCAGATAAACTAACAGTTAGCATGTCTCAAGGTTCACAAGATGCACTGAAGTCAAATGTGAAGTCGTGTCCTAGGTAATATCAACATGGCCACTATTGCTGTAGGGATAAAACAGCAAAACTAGCCAGCAAAAAAAGATCAACCTCACCAATTCAAGACCGAGCGACCTTTTTAACGAGACGTCAACCCGAGGGAACCCGGCCAGGCGCATTTTGTTGCTTTCGGCGAAAACAGAATGGCACGACCATGACGGCAAGATCATTTTGATGCATCCAAGTAGAATGCAAACTCGGATACTCTGTACAGAGGAAAGATTGCCGATCAGTCCATTCATCGACAGCAAGATGATCTCGGAGATTGATAATTAAACCTCCTTGCCGATCCAGGTACCATTAAGAATGAAGTTAAGCTCTTCCAGAACAACCCACATCCTTTTGGCAAGTGTTCACCCGGAAAGCCCACTCCGTTTTTCCCGTCATTTCCACATGTCCAGGGCTGCAGCTTTGGGGATCCACTAAGCCTTGAAGGAGTGAGGCCATATCATCGGCGTCCATACTTTTGTCTTGGTATGTGTTTAATACGGGTATACTATACATTAAATACATCCATACGAAAGTTACCAGCTTTGTCTGGTAACTTTCGGAAACACTTCGGGTATTAAAGAGACGCCGTGTGCCTCCCACCTCCACAACGTTGCGTAGTGAACTCCACAGGCTATGTTGATCCCTATGGTATAGAGAGACAGTGTACAGGGGAAAAGAAGTTAAACCTTCAGTTAGCCAAGTTTACCCAAGGAACACATGGATTTCTTCATAGGAATGTCCAGCAAAAAAGAAAGCTTAAACTTCAGCCCAGTTCGTCAACAAGGTTTGGACGCCAGGCACAGTAGCCTTTTCGGTGGGTGATCGACGAGTCTATACCACTTAGACTTGGTGGGACCCATGTTTTCACAAGATTTCGGTATCTCAAACTTGCGATAGAATACGAATATGATTGTACATTTGCCCGACAGTATGCAATCCCACTACGGCTGACTTGATCGACATCCCAGTTGCCTTCTACACCAAGTCTCCGGTTTCAGCTCCATCTGCATTCAAATTGCTAATGAGAGCAGCTTGCGAAATCGGTTGGAAAAGGCCCACGGAGTGCTCCGGAACCCAAAAAAGTGGTGCTTCAAACTGGCCGAGCATTAATCTGATCTTGTATAAGTCACTGCAGGCCCATTTGATCTGATTACAACCTGTCACCCTCCATAGCTCTGCAAAATGGCTTCCTCCTCCCAGGCATTGGCCTCGGTCAAGATTCGCCTGCCTCATCCTTATCTAACTGCTTACAATGTGGCTCCCTCCAGCAAAGCTGTTTGCGAAACCCAGTCATTCCAATTGCGCAAGGCGGACAATGCGCAGGAAGCGCAGCCATTCCCTCAGGCCTTGCACAATGATCAGCTCTACTTCACGGCGCCCACCCCCGTAAAGTCAGAGAGTGCCCCGCCCACATCCAACAATACCGCCTGGGCTCGCGCCCAAAGAAGCCCTTCATCTATCGCGCGCTGGGAGAACCAACCCGCACCTACAGTAGGCCAAATCTGGCTCTACCTCTACACCATCTTCACAGTACAAGAAGAGATCGAAACCTTCCGTCTTCAGCTCCAAGGCCCCCACGCAGATGCCATGGCGCACGCGCTGCGCCTATCCATGGTTGCAATCGACCACCCGCGCCCCGTCAGCACCTCAACCGCCTTCAAGCCAACCCCCAATGAAGTCCTCATTCTTCGCAGCGCCTTCTGGCAAGGTTGCGCCTCCCCACTAGGCTCGCAGCCTATCTGGGTCCCATCCTGGAACCCAGCCTCTGCAGTCCCCCATCTCGACTGGACCATGACCTCAACGGAAACCATGCACAGACGCCATCCGCGTCGTAACCCAAAGCCGACTCCCGGCTCTGTGGTGTACAGTCGCTATATCCCCTTCTTGGATGAGCACTTCTCCCTCGTGGCCTTAGATTACCGGAACCCGGACCACCTCAACCTCTTCCACACCTGGCAGAACGACCCGCGTGTCGCGCAGGGCTGGAAGGAGACTGGAACGCTGGACGAGCACCGCGAGTATCTGCGCCGACAGGATGAAGACCCGCACACGTTGACCGTGCTGGGTCATTTCAATGATACGCCATTCTCGTACTATGAGATCTTCTGGGCGAAGGAGGATAACGTGGGTGCGCATTACTCTTCCGGGAACTTCGATCGCGGCCGCCACACTCTTGTCGGCAATGATGCGTTCCGTGGCCCCCATCGCGTTATGGCTTGGTGGCCCAGTATGATCCACTACTGCTTCCTTGATGATCATCGTACGGAGAATATCATTGGTGAGCCTATGAGCACTAATGATAAGGTGCTCACTTATGATTACACTTTTGGTTTGCATCAGGATCAGCTTATTGATTTGCCTCATAAGCGTGCTAGCTTGGTTAAGTGTACTCGTGAGCGGTTCTTCCAGCTTTGTCCGTTTAATCAGACCAGCCCGCACATTGCGGGTACGGGGTTGGGCTTTAAGCCTCGTCTATAAATTTGGATATGATAGAAATGTGGAATAGCGTCTATACTAGCTTTTAAATTGATCTATTCCATTCGCTCCGCAGGGTGTATCATAGCCCTGTGGGAGGTTGACGATGGTATTGTGGATATTGGCTAGTATACAGGCTTCGATAATCTCCTCGTCGGACACCTGTGTATCTGGGCGTGCGCCTAGGGATGCATTGAAGCGCACTGTGCCTTCGAAGAGGACTCCCTCTTGTGGAACAAGAGCGATATGATCTCGGAAGGAGATGTCGTCTCGCTTGGTGATGTCTGTTTCGTCCACGAGGATTTCTCCGGAAGTGGGGAGGTACATGCGCTCTACTAGAGAGATGATTGTAGATTTACCAGCGCCTGATGGCCCGACTAGCCCACAGAACTGACCTGGTCGAACATGCGCGTTGAGACCGCGTAGGACAGGGGCGTGTGCGCGTGCTGGGCAGGAAAACTTGACGTCTCGGAATTCGACATCTACTCCTCCCTGTGTTTCGGGAGCCACCCAGGGGAGGGAAAGGAACACCGCAGGCGATGGCGAAGATCAGACCAGTGACAAGGAGCAAGATATCGAATTCGGTCGGGTTGACTTGGGCATAGATCGCAAAGTATCCAAAGACTTCCTTAAGCTGTTCCTGAATAGCAAGTTAGCTTTGGACCATGACACCCAGGACCTGCACGAAGCTCGGGAGCTCGCTTTGGAGGGCGACAAGTCTGCCATGGTAGCTATAAAGTGCCTTGCAGAGCGCCACCAACTTTAACTCTGTGGAATACTACCTAGCAGTACTGCCAACATTTGAAGCAGTTCACGTTCACAGCCCTACTTCAACGATCAACCCAGAAGCTGTCCTACAAGGTTCTTCGGCCCGATACCGGATCATCCCACGGCTTCACGCGTTTAAAAAAATCTGATAAAATCGGCCGCTCCACGGAGCCATATTCTACGGTGGATGGACTTGCCTCTGACGTGGGAATCCACTGCGTTATTGAGACACGAATATGGAGCTCAGTACGAGTACTGGACAATCTTATGCGCTGTGCCGATCACTCCAAGCTTTCCTTGGCGGTGTTCCACAGGCTACGTAGCTTTCCCGAAAGGCTTGCTGATGCTTAACTTGTCGAGATCAAATACTTGGCATCTGGTTTCTTTTTGTCGGTGTCTAAGGAATTCAATGGTACTTGTTTTGATTTCCTCCATACTATCATGTAGTTGATATACGCTTCGTAATGTTGCGAGAGATCCACCGTCCCATGGCAACGGAGAAAATGTGGGCTGCACTCAGTTTTATCAGATCAACACTCGGCGTTTCAACTCGTGTGGATCCAATTCTGCTCGTATTACTCTTGTAATACGCCCATACACATGTAATTGGGGCCACAAGCCGTGCTGGCAGGTCAGGTACATGTATTCATAAACCGAGGCTTCGAATTCTCTTACTCGAATCTGATTGCTATATCTCTACAGTTGCGTCTCAGCTAGCAGAAGCCATACTCTTTATCTCTCGGTACAAGTCCACATACACAGCCATGCAATCTCACTCATTCAACCGGCTACCACCGCCACAGACCTACGGTGCTGTGTCTTTCCCTGCTTCACATGTCATGCTGCTCGTGTTCAATCGGCCCAAGGCCCTCAACTCCATGACCAGCCCTGGCCAATACGAACTTGAATCTCTCTTCTCTTGGTATGACAGTGAACCATCGCTGCGCTGCGCAATCGTCACAGGCGCCGGCCGTGCCTTCTGTGCCGGTATGGACTTGAAAGAGTGGAACCAATTGAACGCTCGTCGTGCCCGTGGAGAAATAGAGCAGCAGCCGATGATGCCGCGATCAGGGTTTGGCGCTCTTTCGCGGCGTCATGGCAAAAAACCTGTCATTGGTGCAATTAATGGGTTAGCTTTCGGTGGAGGCATGGAAATCGTCGCAAATTTGGATCTCGTCATTGCTGCAAAAGGTGCGCTCTTTGGCCTTCCGGAAGCTAAGCGAGGTGTGGTTGCAATGGCTGGCTCGCTACCTAGGTTGGCGCGAACAATCGGCCGGCCGAGGGCTACTGAACTGGCTTTGACGGGGAAGAGTATTACAGCTACGGAGGCAAAGGAGTGGGGCTTGATCAATATCGTCACGGAAGATGCTGCAGCTGACTGCACGATGTTGGAGCGTCCGGTTGTCAAAGCGGCCCTGGAGCTCGCGGCGAGCATTGTTAACAATAGTCCCGACAGTGTGATTATTAGTCGCGCGGGGATTGTTGCTGGTTATGAGGATGGGAGTGCAGAAAATGCTACCCGTCTATTGAGCGAAAATTGGGAGTCTGCTCTTAACGACGGAGAGAATTTGCATGAAGGTGTACAAGCATTCGCTGAAAAGCGGGCTCCTCGATGGGTCGACAGCAAGCTGTGAACAGTTAGTTCTCATTGAGAATACTGCAAAAATATTGACTTATGATATGAGTTATCCTCGTCCTCTAAACCTTAAGCCCCTTTTTTTTTTGGATATGTGCCTATCATAGATGGCTTTGTCGGCTTGATTCAGAATACAACAGGCTCTCAAAATTTTAAATCTGGAATGCCCAGCCTTGCGAATCACCGTAACTCCGGAATGAGAGATGGCGCTATCTGTTATACATTGATCAATTGGTTCGTTGACTAGTCAAATGTCCAGTTCCTCTTCTATACGCAGTAGTACAAAGCTAGGTTTGTTAATGAGGTGAGTGATTTGGCAAGAGAGTTACAACACCGAACAACGGAATGCTTGGCTTTGCCTTGTAGGGCACGTTACAGAATATGCTATGCAATCAGCAAAGGTAGTAGCGTTTAAACGAATGGATGATGGGCCCGCGGAGAATGCCCTTTAAATTGAGAATATTGCAGGCTAATAAATTTGGTGCAAAGGCGTGAGATAAACAGTGGCTCATGGCCCGAGGTTATAACTGTTCACAATTTCCCATACCCAGCTAGAGAAGATCTCAGAACCAGAGCAATAGTTCCTACCATTTTCTAGCTGGCTCACGCAAGGAAGTCTCTGAGGTCCTCCAAAGGAAATAGAAAAACAAACAAGTTGAAGTGACAGAAAACAGATTTCAACCACCACCAGTTTTTACCGCGGGCTGTCCGGAATTCGGTCATTTAAAACTCAGTCTAACTGACTTATGCACCTGGGGATACTCAACAGTGAGCCCGAGACATGGAACGTCGAGGCGCCGTTTCTGTCGAGGGTGCAGCATATGATACATTCCCGGATGTATGGTAATCTCCATCATTCTCCCGCTCGTCTTGAGTCTTGGTCGTAATGTTGTTGTTGTAATAAGGCCAGAAGGACTCCAGTGCCGCCATGGGCTGTCATCGCTGCTTTATCTTTGTAGTGGGTGAGTAGATTCTATGTCACTGAATTTTGGGTAACCTGTACCTTACTCTAAAGTTACAACTTAACGTTATACGTATAGACACGACACGACAATAAACAGAAGATACGACAGACTAATTAGAGCATCTACCGAACGTATTTGTTTCACCACTATTTCGGCGTTGAAAGATGGCCGAAGTGAATTACCGCCGGCCTTTCCACTGTCAAGGGCATTATGTGACCATATAAATGACCTAGATCGTGAAGCTTGGCTCATATCAAGCCAAGTTGAGCAGTGAATTTAGTTGCTTTGTCTCGTATATCAGTCAATGAGTAGGTCCAATTGATTGAAAATGCAATAAAGCCAATTGTTGAGACGTCATAAGACATCAAAACAAGCAAAATTCAACCAGATCAACCCCAGCTTGTTTACAATGATTCAATAGAATCCAGTAAGTAGCGTTATAGCTACATATGTACATGTGGTGGAGCTGATCACAAGGACAAGATGTGATGGACCCGTGGGCTCATTCGATCCCAAATCGCCTAGCAACTTCCAGAAAGCCGTCAGACTTTAGGTTAATCCACATATCAACCCACCCCTCGGCCTTGGCCTGTGCAATCTCCTCGGCTGACCAAGCCTCCTCGAATTCACGCTCAACATAGATAGTCTGAAGCCCACAGCTCTTAGCCCCCTTCAGATCACGAAGGTGGGCCGCAACCATCCCACACTGGCCAGACTCCAAGCCGAACTTCTTAGCAGCCCCATTATAAACCAGTGGCGACGGCTTATAAGCACCAAAATTCTCCGAACTGACCAAATGCGTGAACGGCAACGAGCCATGTCGCTGTAGATCCTGCAGCAAGGAGACATTACCGTTCGACAGCGTAGAAGTCTGGAACTTCTTATTTAGTTGCGCAAGTCCAGGAACACTATCCGGCCATGGGGTAAGTCGGTGCCAGCTGAAAGCAAGTTCCCACCGCTCTTCATCAGTGAACAGACCATCCAGGTTGTGTTTCTGAAGGAGGTCTTGGAGAGCATTAAAGTGATGTTGATCGACCGACACGAACTCAGTTGATGGATCAAATGTCGCTGTGAAAATGCTGTAAGACTGCCGCCATTGTTCGGCAAATGCTAGCCAGTCGTGCGAGGTCATGGCTGCTGCGCGGTCCCGCACGTCGGCTGAGAGGCCCTTGCGGGGAGATTTCACAGCCTGCAGGGCGGCTGTGTTCAGCTCTTGGGTGACGCATGTGCGCCACTCGACTACCGTGCCGAATGTATCGAAAAACAGCATCTGGGGTGGGTTGTTTGTCGACATTGTGGGGATAGATCTGCAAGACTGTTGATATTCACAATGCCCCGCCTTGAAGATTCTGTAGGCTGCCGTACTGCGTCTGAATATTCAGTTGAGATCTTAGCCAGACGAGAGTTAATGAGTCTATTCATTCTTGCCCAATGTGTCCATGATATATGCTTAGTCACGCCGAGGTTAGTCGAACCTCCGGATCTAACTGGCTGATAGTTCTGGCGGAAGTAATTCTGTTCATACGATCAGCTTTGCGAGAGTTGACTTGATTATGACGAGTCTGAACTTTTTGTGAGGCTCGTGTTGAGAGTGGAATGTGGACAGTGTACAGTGCGCAGACGAGAGAAGGACAACATTCCGCCCTATTCTTTCCTCCCTTCCTCTGGTCACTGATCTCTCAATGATCATCATTGACTGCTGCACCATTGACTGTTGCATCCTTGACTATCGGCCTTGCTATCAATTTATTCAATGGACTACTGTGTGCAATGATAACCCCACCCTCCAAGCCTAGCCTCACTAGCGCTCCTGTCAAAAAGAAAATCTCGGCACAGAAAATAGACGAGTCTCACAACGCGACCTGTCAACGTCCAAATCAAAAGCACCGTGATTGCCCCTGAGATGTGGAGACACGGCAAATGGTTCGTGGGGACTTATTCTCCTTCGCGTCTTCCCCGTTGCTAGTCCAATTTCCAACGGGGCTAATTCGGGGGCTTGACGCATGCACAGAAAGAGTCTAGCCATGAGGCCGGACTAAACCGGATATTACACCAAGCAGAGTTTATTGCCAGTGATTGGCTTGTGGCGATTCTGCTTTTTTTCCCCACGTTGCCGCCACATTCAATGTCCATAGGTTGCGACCGGTACTTGCATGGAGAAATGCAGAATGCGAGACAACACAGGGACCCCAGCCATTTCAGAGATCCAGACCTCCAGACCTAGGGCCAAATCCCGCCTCAAAAACGCGTCCCAGACTTTGTCAAACGGGGGAGTTCGGTTCTCATTTCGGCCCATATGGGTGCTTTTGCTTTCCAAGCTCCGGTGGGGAACTCGGGCCTGAAGCTCTACCCCTGATCAACATTGTTTTGACCGGACAATTGTTGCAGTATATTGTTTGCACGAGAAAAAAACGCATCACAAAGAGGCTTGTCCAAAGAAGCACTCGTCAGATACAACCTGGATTCTGAAACACAGACCACAGGCTCTTGAATGTAATTGCCTTCGCCGATCAAGCTGCGCAAATACGCTAGGGCCAACAACAGAGAACAGTTAATATTACTCTCAAACACGCTAACCACCGCTTTCCCCCATGCAGAACAAGCTCCAATTTATTCGGTGCACTTGCTTTGCTCCCCAAAAAAAAAAGGATTCGGAATTGATGCTATTGGACACGATCACGGCTTTTATTCTATTTTATTCGCCCTTTTTTCTTTGCTTTGCTGCACACTGGACGCCTTCAGTCCACTTGATATCATCGTCAGAATAGGGGGGATCTTCCCTGCACAGCCGTCTCAGAAGCTTTTAAGAGCTTGAGCTACGCGGTTGGGACCCATCCGACGCGTAGTGGAGCCCTGATCCAGACGGGCTTCAGACGAACACCTTCCCCATACCCAAAAAAGAGATGCAATTGCTGCTATGGCATGATCTCGACTCCTTTTCCTATCTCAGTGGACCCCGTCAACTTGGCCGCATAACTCGCATCGCGAGATTGCAAGGGCTCCATTTTAATCTTTTAACCTTTCTTTGTTTCTTTGTTCTAATTTTCAGAACGTGTTCGGATCCCTGACAGCTCCATTCTCCACCCAATGACTGTGGTGCATCCCTTTCCTGTAGATTGTTTACGATGATCTTTATCTCGCGAACAGGCCTCGAGCATGCAGTTAACGTTCCGGGCTTCGACTATACCTAACCGGCTCAACATCCATGCGTTTAGTGTCTTAGGCAGCTGGCAGTGGAGCATCTATTCGCGGTGGCTAATCGGGTGGGTTTCTTGCTTCCCCATGTCACCCCCTGACGAACATCCCTGCTCTTTTTTTCTGAGGCGCGAAGTCCAGTCCTTGTCCCCTCGCATCCGCACTTCCGACATGCGGCAAGGCTGATCTAGGTAATCAATCTAGGTAGGCGTGACTCGTCTCAGATCGTTGCCGTGTTCGTAAATTTAGTGGCTGTTGAGCGCTCACCACTGCCCCCTCCTGTACGGTGATCGCGATCGGCCTTTCTCGAAGGCCGCGTCTTTCGGACTGATCTCATTTCTTCCTCATCCTCCCCGGGATCGGCCACTATCCTGAAATCCCAATCTTACTCGTCTCCTAGACGGGTTACTGTTAGATCTGTTCTCGATCTTTGATATTGTATGTGTTGTCTTCCCCGTGCATATCCCAATGTTCGGCATTGGCTCGTCACGCTCAAGCTTGCATCCCGCATCTGCGTTGTAACCGTGGCTGACCTGTTCGTTCCACAGAGTTCTACAAGGTCCCACGTTGAATACTCCCCTCATTTCGAGACTCGCGAACTGGTCAATGAACATCGAGTGGAGGCAATATCATACCAGCAACATCGACGTTTATCACTCGGATGGTGGAACTACGGTAGTCTGTGGGATCCGGTGCGTGACGTGCTCTGGTTAGCACAGGGAATCGCGAAGCCCGGGTAATGGTTTGAAACCAGTACATGAAAGAGATGGCCACAGACTTGCAGTCCCCGGCCTCCATGGCACACCCTTCTCCGGCATCCCGACCTCGCGCTATATCGAAACCAAGATCGAGGTCGAAACCCTCTTTGCGCCGGCGAGATTCCTCCCCTCCACCTTCCTCCCCACCTGGCCTGCCAACGCCCGCATTCTCGCCGGACGGACATAGCGGACAAAGTGATGATGATGATATCATTGAAGATACATTGTCACCCTTTGATCCGCGCAGGATCACACCGACTCTTCATGCATCTCTTGTATCAGAAATCCTCTCGTTGCGGCGCGATATAGAAAGCAAAACCAAGGCAATTGATGTATTGGAAGAGAGCTTGGACGAGTCGAGGACGGAAAATGAAACATTAACCGCGAAATTGTCGCAAGCGACTCGGGATGGACGATCTTTAAAACACCAAATTCAACTGCTGGAAGGCGGGACATCATCTGCGCTCACGGAGCTTGCCCGAGAGCGCGATGAAGCGGTCGATAACATCAGCGATGTCCGCAAGAAGCTCGAGCAGGCGCAGAAGAAAGCTCGGAGCCGGGAAGAGGAGGTCGAGCGAACACAATCATTGTACGAGCGCGATCAAGAGGCCTGGGCGGTTGAACGCCGAGCTCTGGAGCACAAGGTCCACGTGGTGGAGGGCCGACTGAAGACTGTCTTAAATGAGGTCGCAGCCGCCCGGGAAGCTGGAGCACTCCATTGTCAGCCGAGCGAGAACGGTGAAATCGCTCAAGATAAGATTAAAGGAAGCGACACAGCTAGCATCACGTCTGGTAGCATGGGACGCCGGCGCACGAGTGTAACCACCGTGAGCTCAAACGAGGATGAAGCGGTCAATTATCACAATGTGCGCTACTCTGTGATGAGTATGGCGCATGGTACCAAGAATGATTCAGGCTTGAATCTGGCAGAGGAATTGGCATTTGATGAAGAGGACGATTTTGTTCAATCTGATGACGATGATACGCCCGCCTCTCCCGAGGCTCTGCCTGAGGAACGCCCAGCGTCGGTTCACTCACAGGCATCCCATACTGTGGCTTCAAAGGCAAGGAGGATTTTGGGTCTTTCCCTTCAAAGCTCAAATTCTGCCAATGGTACAGAACTCCGTGCTCGGGAGCTTGGTAGCCCTAAGAAGTTGAACGAGATCGCAGTTGACTACCGCGATATGGGCATTCAGTACTCGCCTCCGCCCTCTCCTAGAGTGCTTCCTAAGTTCGAGGTTAATGGTGTCCCTGAGTCCATGGAAGCACTCTCGGGGCCGAACGACGACGACAGTATGAACATGCCTGCAATGAAGGATAGTTCCACGCTCACCATCGCAGCTGAAATGGTCTCTACATCTTGTCAAACCATGGACGAACTACCCAGCCCTCCTTGGACACCCAAGGTGGCAGACTCGCCACCACATTCTCTCGAATATACCCCAGAGCCGGTGCAGATGGCATCGACGTCCACCCAAACCGATCCTGTCCCAGAGCCAAATGTCCCCAGCCAGAAGCGTCCTAGCTTGTCACCGAATGATGTTCCGTCTCAGATGGACATTCCAATGATCGCGATTCACCCGCCTGGTTCAGAGCCTCCTTCGCCTCGAAACAGTGTCGTTCTCCCACCGCAAACCAAGAATGTGTCTTGTCAAGCCAATTTCCGCCCAGTTGTTGAAAGCCGTTCCGTCTCCATTCAAACCGAGGGGATTCGTATCGATCAACGCCCGGTCAAATTGCCAGCGAGCCTTCTTCCATCTGCTATTTCAGATATTCTGCCTCGCTCCGAAACCCGGGATTCAAACATCGAGGCATTCCCTGTTCCCCCAATTCCACCACGGTCCGAAAAGCGGAACCAAAGGACTTTGGCCACAGAACGTCCAGTGAAGCCTCCAAGGGCACCCGTATCAGACCATTTGCAAGCCTATCCGGGCCATAACAACGACAACGGTCCGCTCTCGGAGGATGCTGTGTCCGGAATTCGACGACCGTTCCGATCTAGTAGTCTCTTTGCTGGCTTTGATCACAACAGCGATGATGAAGGTCATCATATAGAGCGTGACGTCTTCACTGACGATGAGCTCCTCCATCGTCCATTCGCTTCATACACTGTCAGCCGCGGCAAGCTTGTTACTGCGAAGTCAAGACCTAGTTTGGACGACATGGCTCTCCCTGAAATTGACGAGCAGCTATCAGACCCCGACTCAAGGCCGCCTGATATTAGCCGCGGGCCTTCTCGGGCCACCCGGCGGTCTAGCACGACCACCTCTAGTAGTCGCCAACCAGGAATGCGCAAGATGGCCATGATCTCTAGCGGTACTGCTGCGCACCAGAAGATCCGCTCCCGGAGTCCCAGTGAGCCAAGTCTCGACAGCGGCAGTGTAACCTCAAGCATTGCACCACCATTCCCCGTTCCTGTTCGCCTGAGCTCACGCAAAGTTCCGCTCAACGGCAGCGACGGGCCCCCAAGCCCGACTCGCTCAGCTGGTAGGCAATTCTCAGATCGTGGTCGCCAACCCCTCGCCCGGCGACCGACACTCCGCCGAGTCCGTTCCGCGGCAGCAATGTCACAGTCGGAGCTCACAGAGCGGCCGGAGAACAGATCTTCTCCAACACGATCAATTTCTTCTTTTGCTCCTGACAGTCCGCCCTACCGACCTCCCCCGCCGATGCCGTTTGATGATATCACGGCACCCCGCGAGCGACGTGCAGCTCACAGACACACCTCTCATCGTACTATTCCGTCTAATAATTGGAGTACCCATGAGCGAGAGGACCATGTGAGGAAGGATTCCATTGGTGGCGTTCAGCCCACCAGCGTTGTTGATGCCATTGCCCAAACCATGGTGGGCGAATGGATGTTCAAATATGTCCGTCGACGCAAGTCTTTCGGGATGGGCGAGACCAAGGATAATTGGGAAGGCAAGAATCCTGATGAGGTATCGGCGAACATCACGAGCAGTGGGGTGCGACATAAGCGATGGGTTTGGCTTGCACCATATGAAGGCTCCATTATGTGGAGTAGCAAGCAGCCCACCAGCGGGCCTGCCTTGCTGGGCAAGAGTGGCCGAAAGTGTCAGTTCACATATCTGATCAGTCGAATTGGACCATGCTAATATGATTTCGCAGTCACCATCCAATCAGTGCTAGATGTCAAAGACGACAACCCCATGCCAAAGGGCACCGGCTCTGGGACTCCGTTCAACCGTTCCATCCTGGTGCTAACACCCCAGCGAGCTCTCAAGTTCACAGCTCTGACCATCGAACGACACTACGTCTGGCTAACAGCCCTATCTTTCCTAAGCCATTCATCCATAGGCCTACAAGAACTAGCAGTCCTACCTCCCGTCCCACAACAAGAAGGATCCCCAACACCACCAACAGCCACGCTCCGCAGAAATCCAATCCGTGACTCTATTCGCGTCGCAAAGGGTCGGCCCCGCCCCATGCCAAAGGGCAAACGCTCCTTCAACAACGCCAGCGCACCTGCACCAGTCCCTGAAGTCCCAGGCGGCAGCATCGATCTCGCCGCCGACGCACCACATGTCCCCCGCTTCTCCCACAACCGCAAGCGCAGTAACACCGCGCCCCGCCCTCCAGCCCTGCACGCTCTCCGCAGCTTCTCCAGTCAAGGCACTATGCCTTCCTCGCATAGCGGGACGACAGTTGGCTCCCCAGAAGTCTATTTCCCGCCCATACCACCTCCGAATCTCCAACCAGGCATCGGGAGCCGCCGCAGCAGTGTCAGTCGCCGGACCTCCGAGGCCAGTGGCCGCGCCTCTAGTGCGGGTCAGAGTAACATGTTCGATATGGGCACTGTCCGGATGGAGGCGTTCATCGATCGCCACGCTGAGCAGATTAATCGTCCGCCCCCGCGCCAGCGTCCGCGCCATGTTCGCAAGACTTCTAGTCAGTGGAGTCAGGGTCGCTACGAGCTTGATACGCCTTCTATCAACGACAGCGAGATGTCTTTCCGCCCTGATGATCCATTCCGAGGATTCTAATCTTTAACTTCTTTCTTTCTCCTTCTTTTTTACCTTATACCTATTCTTTCCCTTATATCTATTGTCTATTACTCTCTCCCCTTCTTTGCAAAACAACTATTGTTGGCGCAGGTCGATCGCCACGTCTTCTCTCTGCGGCTTATCTGTGTCTTGTACACCGTGGCCGGACATACGTACATTACACCCTGTTTTGTCGGTGCCACATACGTTTCATTTCTTTTTCTTCTTGTCATCTACCTCATACTTGCCATTCTGCATCTTTCGCCATTTATCATCTGCCTTTTACCATTTGTCACTTTCGAGTTGATACCACTTTGATTTGATCGGATACCGATCCTCGTGCAGCGGGGGAAAGAAAGGCGTTCTTGTTCTTGTTGACATCTCATCCATTCACTGGTCCTGGGATCTATTTCCCAGATACATTAGCATAATGTATATGTGTTTATTGCATATATGAAACCTCGAAATCGCGGGTATATTTCGCTAGCAGAGTAAATACAGAAAGTCTGGCTTGCCACCTGGGTCAGAGCGTATGTAGACACAACTGTAACCCGGTGGGCTGATGTTGATGCCCGCAGCCCCAACCCCATCATCTATTTCCATATTGCACATTGTATAATATTTCCAAAATGATATTCACAGCTTCGCGGCTTCCTTGACCTCGCCGATCTTCAGCTTGGGCGAGTACTTCTTCAACACGGATTCGTTGTGATACTATTAACGGTGCGTGTTAGCATATGTTTGGTTTCAATAGCCGACGACTCGGTCGATTGCCGATCCGAGGGCGAGAACATGAATAAAGCAAGGAGAACAACAAAAACAAAGAGGATAGTGCCGAGGGAGGTTGTATATAACTAACCTTCCAGAACTGCTTTGAGGCATCCTTGCCCGCTACGCGCTTGAGGATCTTCGCGCCGCCGGGGTGCTCGTCGATGAAGTTGGTTACATCGTAGACGTTGTTATCGACGATGATGTAGAGGCCCTTCTCGGCAGAGTTGTGGGAGGCAACGTCGGCGGGGGTGAATGATTGAGACATGTTGGATAGTGTGAAGAGAGAAAAAGAAGAGAAGAAACGGAGTGACGTATAAAATCCGGAGTCTGGGGAGGAAGCGGAGAAACCGAGGTTGAGTTGTTTGCCGCGGTTGGAATTAGGTGGAATGTGATTGGTCGATGCCTGAGGCATCTAGATGTTTATACTTCATACTTCGATTATCTTTTGATATCAGCAAGTAATGCCTCATTTCTTGGATATTTCTTAGGTATGTCTTCTAAGCATGTTACCCTCATTACAGGGCCAAATTAATCCCATCCTCTCCTTCTGTCCATGTGTAAACGCTCTTGAGCTACGAGCAAGACACAGAATACTAGCTTCTTGACATCTTTGCTTCAACCATTCAAGCCTGGCAACATTCTCTGGCTTCCTGAGCGGGTAGTATTCGAGAAGTATCGCGGCCAATTTTGGGAAGCTCTCCGAGGCAGCTAAGTCCCCCAACTGGTCTATAGCTCCATCAAAGCTTTCGTCCTCCCTGACAGACGTACATAATGTCTGCAACGAGGAAGGAAGAACATGCCGAAGATTTCGCACGAGTAGATTGTGCTCATCAAGGCCCAGAAGATTGGGCAAGGAAGTGCAAATGAGCTTCAAAACAGTGAAATCAGCGAAATTCCCCATCCATTCGTCGTCGGTATCCAGATGGATGGTGCCATCGTGAGCCTCAACCCAGATAAACTCCAACGTCGACATATGGAATGAAAGTGATTCGTAGATTTTCCGTGGCTGAAAGTCATCGTTGGAGACTATTCGTGAACCATGGATAAACCGGAATGATTTCAGTGCTTTGCAGGCGTGAACCCATTCACGCATCCCCACCACAGAATTGCATTCTTGGAGGTCGATGTCCGTTATATTCGAGCACTGTGGCGAGAGGGTGTCTCGCTTCGCAAATTCGGAATAATCACCATTGTCATACTCCGTCATCATGGAGCAGCACACTTCGCGCATTGACGGGAACTTGAAGAATGGTTGCATTTGATAGGATGGGAATGCGTTCTCTGAATTGCCCCAAACTCCATAGGCTTCCTCGAGATAAGGGAATAATGATTCTTCCTCAAGAGCAGCTTTTTGCAACATATCCAACACATAGTGTGAGCTGTACGGCGGCCATGTGAGTCTGATTCTCCGCAATTGCTTCAATTGCGGAATCAGCAAAGCCAACCAAGCATCTCTGTTATCTTGTTCGAGCTCTTTCAACCATTTGGATCTCTCCTCTTCGGAATATCCCGTTCTTTCGCTGACTAGTTTGCGTACGAGATTTCCATCAAATTCAATGTTCCTGTAAGCTCGTTCCCCTTTCCAGACATCTGCATCAGCGATTTCTCTGACCCAGCACTCGACCTTCAGGGACCGAACATAGCTAGCCAGCCTCGGCGTTCGGGTCACGGCGTATAGAAAGATTTGGGCTGATTGGTCTATACCGTCATATGGCTCCCATCCGCAGATACTCACGTTGGTGTAGAGGCATTGTTGGAACACGATGTGCAGTCGACGTGATGAGGATACCAGGTGATAGAGATCTTCGCCGCGGAGATCGCAGGCAACTAGATGGAGTATTTCCGGGGGTAAATCGTCAAACATGACTGCAGTCAGAAGTCAAAGGTTGTGACTTGCATGTATCATGTTCTCGGGGGTGGTTGGTGGCTTGGCGTAGGCCACTGTCTTCAGAGTACGCTTACTCTTACTATTATATTCGACTAGTCTAATATAGGATAGATCCTATAGAAGTATCGCGTAGTATGATAAGATAGTAGCTTCTTTCTTTCTTAGTTTCTTTCTTTACCCCTAGCCGTATACCTCGCTGACCAAGATAAGCCCAAGCTATCAACACAAACTCGTTACTACTCGCAGTGTCTACATCAAGAGCTCATACCGACTATGACTGGATCCGATAGCTTACCCTCATCTCCACGCCAGGACAAGCCTGATCCTTAAGTCCTATTAGCCAAACCGAGTCATTGAGATTGGGGTGTCTAGAGCAACATCGTTCTCAAGAAGTGACTATCACCAAAATTAGCATCGATGGAGTCCCTCTGGTTTTACCGTTCCAGGCATTGTTTGGCCGAGATTCTGTTCCTCCCAAATGTGACATCTTTCTGTCTGATGAGACATTCAATGGACTTTCGGACTGAGTCTTTTACTTTCTCGCTTAGTCTTTGTCCTATGCTATATTGTTCTACCCAGTTATTGGCTAAGGCTCGGGATATTGTTAATCACAAGAGATTGCTAGTTAAATATGATATTTTAAGAATACAGCCCACTGCAAGGCCAGAGCGTAGACTCAACCGACATTTACTCTCGACTCTTCTCACCAGCAGCTCCTTGTCCCTTGGTCGTCTTCTTCTCCAGCCCCAAACTCTCCAAGTCCTTCTTCTTATAATAATGCGGCGCAACCTCAACCAGCCACTCTGCTTGTAACGGCATATTACTGCGCATATACTCCTTACTGGTAAGCACCAGCTCAAAGTAAATCACCCAGCGTGGGTTCACCTCCATCAGTGTACTAGATGGGTGCAAGTATACCGACTGTCCATTCTTGATAGTCCGGTAGCTATCACCGCCGCGCTGGAGTCGTGCTGCGTTGGGGAAGAAGCCGGCTGTGATGGCCTTCTGGATAGGCACGATGTTGTTGGAGCCGCAGGTGCTGACAGTCACTTCGACACGGTCACACAGTTTCGCTAACTGATCGCGTACGTCGCGTGCTCGTGTCAGACTGCGCTGCTGGAGGAAGTTTTCTTTGGCCCAGATGAAGCTGAAGTCTGAGTCCACCCACTGGTTCCAGATGTTCAGAAGAGTGAGGTGGTCACCGCCCTCTTTGATGGTGAAGCGGTTGCGTGCGCTGTCGGCGTGGATCTTCTTATCCTTAGGTCGGAAAAAGAGCGCGCTGGATTCGCCCAGCATTGAGATGATTGAGAGTACCTCTTCCACGCATCCGTACTTGTCGGATGCAAGGATTGCCTTGGCGAGCATTGGGTCCGTGGGGAACTCGGCCATCTGGCGACCAACCTTAGTCAGATCGCCTCGGTCGTTGAGTGCTCCAAGGGCGTACAGCATTTCCAGTGCCCGGATGATTGTCTCAGCAGGTGGCGGGTCCATGAAGTCGAAATCGAGCAGCTGATCAATACCCAGTGACTTGAGCATGAGAATCACTCCGTTCAAATTGGTACGTTGGATCTCTGGGGTGGTGTTCTCCTCCAGTTCGTTATAGTACGCCCACTTGGTGTAAAGACGGAAGCATTTGCCGGGCCCAACACGTCCAGCACGACCGGCACGCTGGTTGGCCGAGGCCCGCGAACAGGGTGTGACCACCAAACTCTCCATGCCTGTGCGTGGGTTGAATACGTTCTCCTTCACGAAGCCAGGATCAATCACGTAAACAATACCATCGATGGTCAAACTGGTCTCGGCGATGTTAGTGGCAAGCACCACCTTCCGCGCCTTGGGTGGAGTAGGCTCGAAAATCTTAGTCTGTAGCTCTGATGGCAGGTTGGCGTAGATAGGAGCAATGATCATCTCGGGTATTTTGCTCCCCAGTTTTCGAGCCGTTTCTTGTAGACTTTGTTCGGCGGCCTCGATTTCCTCTTGACCCGTCAGGAACACAAGGATGTCTCCCGGGCCTTGGGTGACGTGGATTTGGAACACCGTAGTGATGGCCGCGGCCAGATAATTGGCCTCCGGTTGTGAAGTGTAGTGCACGTCAACTGGGTATCGACGACCGGGGATGTTGAAAATAGGCGCATCATCGAAGTACTTTTGGAATTTCTGGGCGTCCATCGTTGCCGAGGAAATCAGCAGCTTCAGGTCAGGCCGTGCCTTGGCGATATCCTTGAGAAGACCACAAGCAATATCTGTAGGTACAGTCCGTTCGTGGGCCTCGTCAATCATGAGCGCGGAGTATTGGCTCAGGTCCGGCTCTGTCAACAGTTCTCGCAACAACATTCCATCAGTCATATACTTCAGGATAGTCTTATCGCTCGTGTTATCCTCGAATCGAATAGCATATCCGACCTCATTTCCAATCTTCGTGCCCATCTCCTCGGCCACACGAGCTGCCACACTCATGGCGGCCACTCGACGTGGTTGCGTACAGCCGATCTTCAACCCATCCTTGGTATATCCGGCCTCGTGGAGATACTGTGGGATCTGAGTTGTCTTTCCGGAACCCGTTTCACCAACAATAATCAGAACCTGGTGGTCCTGGACTGCCTGGATGATCTGATCGCGGAACTGGTAGATAGGCAGACTCTTGCGGGTTTCCTCCATCGACAAAGCCTTCTTCTCTGCTTCGTCGACTTGTTCCTTGAACCGCAGCTGTTCCTTTGTCATTGGCTTCTGCGTGCCCTCGAGTTTCGCATCCATGACAAAGTTGATCTGCTGCGAATCGTCGAAGACGTACTCATAGTCTCCCTCGTCAACAAACTCGGCCTTCTTAATCTGTGCTTTGGCCTTCGCTGACTGCTCCAACTCCCATTCCTCGTGCTCGGTGACATGCCGCTCCTGACCCAGTTCATCGCGCTCAACGTACCGCTTGTACAGAGCATCCTCTTTCTTCTTTCGGTCAATCTTGCCCTTTTCCGTAATGTAGTCGTCGGGCATCATGTATCCATCGCGGTGGTCGTCGATCCGGAGCCGTTCCTCGGCGATACGAAGAACCTCGCGATTGCGCGCAAACTCCTCCTTCTCCCTACGAGAGAGATTCGGGTTCTCGCGCAACTCCGCGGCTTCCTCCGCAACCTGTCGTCGTAGTAGCGCCAATCGCTCGGTTTCACGCTTCTTCAAGTACTCCTGTCGAGATCTCTCGCGCAGATCGGGCATCATCTCAGCCCGCGCTCTAGCATCATCGCCCAGGGCACGCCGACGTGCAGCCTCGCCGTCGCGCGTACGATCCTCAACGATCTTTTTCGTTTTGCTGTCATCCTTATTGGCCAATCGTTTCGCGAACTCGTCTCGTTCACGGATGTCTCGTTGGCGATCGATCTCTTCCTGAGTCCGGGGGTCGACATCGTCTGCAGGAGAGGCGGAGCGAGGGGAAGCAGAGCCGTCGTCGAGCCTCGTGCGCTTCGGGGCAGATTCCTCGAACTCTTCTTCGGGGTACATCTCGTCTTCCGGGATCTCCTCGTCACCCCATCGGTCCTCAAAGTCATCGGAGTCCTTCTTACGCAGTTTCTTCGTGCGCGGCCGATCACGACTCTCTGCATCTCGACTTCGATCTCGCTTCCGGCTATCGTCCTTGACTGCGCGATTCCTTTCAGAGTCTCGCTTCCCTCTGCTCCGCTCATGGTCATTGTCCCTGTCCCGATCCCGTCTTCTCCGTCGCTCCCGATCTGCCTCGACGTTTGTAGGTCCTAGAGAAGCGGCCGGGTCTGGTTGATCCTCGCCCATATCCAATAAACGGTACTTCTTTTTCGAGGATTCCTTTGAAGCTGCAGGCTCGGAGGACGATGCACTGGGCAGTGCGCCCTTGCCCAGGCGGCCATGAAGCTCTCGAGCGAATGCACCGATGTCAGATGAGCTGGTTCCCGGGCTGTCGAGGAAGGATATCAGTGTGTCTTGGAGGGAGGAAGGCGACTTGGACGAGCTGGCGGTCGCGAGGACGAAATCGATGACGGTCGGGTCAGACGCGCCAGTCAGACGGATAAGGGAGTCTGAGACAAAGGTTTTGTTGTCCATGATGTGCGATCTCGTCTTCGGGTCTTTTTGTAGCAAACTGGAGTAGCTTGGCTCCGGCGGAGAGCTGGGTTGTGTAGGTGCAGGTAAGGTGTGGTGTCGTCAATCCGGCTTAGGCGCAGGGGCGCATGATGCAGAGCACGTATTACCGCGACAGACCAAGCTCGGGGCTTGCAGTGAGGATGTAGAGTGGGATAAAAAGGAAGGTTATTTTAATGAAGTTATGAGGCTGTTCGATTCGGGAGAAGTCTGCGGCCGCCAAGAAAATCTGTGGCGATCCGCCCCGGGAATATATATCTCGACTACATAACAGTTTATCCTCCAGCTGTTACGCCAACTTTACAACATTTACTCATACATCAGAAATCTAGAGTATTATCACTGTTATCACTGCAACTATATTAGCTACATATTGATACAAAGAATTAGCACAAAGAGACTACTCAGACATATCCAGATCAAAATATGTATGTTCAATGCTGATATTGAAGCGTAAGATCGAAATATACTTCCAAAATCCCATCAACAGGGTTTAAACAACAAACATACCTAAGTACATCCTCTACTCAAGTAGCTACAACTTATAATAGGAGTAAAGCATATTAGACATAAGAGGTCATTTCAGTTCATAATTCCACAAGCTATACAGACATTTGAAGGTAACCAACCAAACAGACTAAACTAGAAGAGACCACGCTAGGCTAAGGGTCGTCAGGGTCATTAAAAAACCAAAGGAGATAAAAAGCAAAACAAAGATGGCAGTGATGATTCCAAGTCCATGATATCTGATCCGTGCCAGATCAACACCAGATCAAGATCAACCCAAAGAAGAATCGTCAGTGACCGACGTGCCATGGCCAAGGAAGGAGAAGTACGAAACAAGTGGAAGGAATACGACAGAGATCGGAACAGTC